TCCAAATTGGTAATGAAGAAGTTAAACTGTCCCTGTTTGCAGATGATATGATACTATGCACAGAAAACCCTAAAGACTCCATGAGAAAACTACTGGAACTAATAGAAAGATTCAGTAGAGTAGCAGGATACAAGATAAACATACAAAAATCAGTTGGATTTCTATACACCGATAAAGAAAACGATGAAAAGGAAATCATTTATAATAGCTCCTCAAAAAATCAAATACTTAGGAATAAATCTAACCAGGGATGTAAAAGACCTACACAAAGAAAACTACAAAACACTACTTCACGAAACCAAAAGAGATCTACATAAATGGAAAAACATACCATGCTCATGGATAGGTAGGCTCAACATTGTGAAAATGACAATTCTACCCAAAGCAATTTACAAATATACTGCAATCCTAATCCAAGTATCAACAACATTCTTCAAAGAGATGGAAAAACTAATCATTAAATTTATATGGAAAGGGAAGAAGCCCCGGATAAATAAAGCACTATTGAAGAAGAAAAATAAAGTAGGAGGACTTGCACTACCTGACCTCAGAACATACTATACAGCTACAGTAGTCAAAACAGCCTAGTATTGATACAACAACAGATACAATGACCAATGGAACAAAATTCAGAACCCAGATGTAAATCCATCCACCTATGGTCACATGATCTTCCACGAGAGCCCAAAGTCCATCAAATGGAGAACAATCTTTTTAAGAAATGGTGCTGGCAAAATTGGATGTCTATCTGCAAAAAAATGAAACAGGACCCATACCTCACACCATATATAAAAACTAATTCAAAATAGATCAAAGACCTAAATATAAAAGCCAAAAACTGTAAAGTTCATAGAAGAAAAAATAGGATCAGGGCTAGAGGCCCTAATACACAGCTTTAACAGGATACCAACCATAACCAACAACACACAAACTCCTGAAGATTAGCTAAATAACTGGGATCTTCTAAAAATTGAAGACTTATGCACTTCAAAAGACTTCACCAAAAGAGTAAAAAAAGAACCTACAAACTGGGAAAAAAAATTTGGACATTACAAATCAGACAAAGTTCTAATCTCTAAAATCTGTAGGAAAGTCCAACACCTCTACAACAAAAAGACAAATAGTCCAATTAAAAAATGGGCAAAAGAAATGAACAGACACTTCACCAAAGAAGACATTCAAGTGGCCAACAGACACATGGGGAAATGCTCATGATCACTAGCCTTTAGAGAAATGCAAATTAAAACCACAATAAGATACCATCTCACCCCGGCATTACTGGCACGAATCAAAAAAACTGGAAATAAGAAATGTTGGAGAGGCTGCAGGGAGATCGGAACTCTTATGCACTGCTGGTGAGAATGCAATATGATACAACCATTTTGGAAAATGGTATGGCACTTCCTTAGGCAGCTAGAAATAGAAATACTATACGATCCAGCAGTCCTACTCCTAGGAATATATCTTAGAGAAATTAGAGCCACCACACAAATAGACATATGCACACCCATGTTAATTGCAGCATTGTTCACAATAGCAAAAAGATGGAAACAACCAAGATGCTCATCAACAGATGAATGGATACATACAATGGAGTATTACACAATGATACAGAACAAGGATGAATCTGTGAAGCATCTCATAACATGGATGAAACTGGAGGACATTATGGTGAGTGAAATAAGTCAATCACAAAAGGACAAATATTGTATGAGACCACCACTGTAAAAACTCATGAAAAGTTTTACACACGAAAAGAAACAATCTTTGATGCTTATGAGAGAGTGGAGGGGTGGGGGGGGTGAATACTAAATAGATAAGTGGTAACTTTTGTGAAGGGTAAGACAGTACACAGTACTGGGGAAGCCACCACAACTTGTACAAGAAAAGGTTTTGGAAGCTCCGTAGACACATCCAAAATTCCTGAGGGACCAAATTGCTGGGCAGAGGGCTGTGGGGACCATAGTCTCGGGGACCATCTATCTCAATTGGCATAACATATTTTATAAAGAAAATGTTCTATATTCTACCTTGGTGTGTAGCTTCTGGGGTCTTAAAAGCCTGTGAGCAGCCATCTAAGATACTCCACCAGTCTGGGAGAATTAAGAAAACAAGATACAAGGGAAAGATTTGTCCAAAGGACTAATCGGCAGCAACTACCACAGCCTCCACCACACTGAGTCCAGTACTACTAGATGGTGCCCGGCTACCACCAGTGACTGCTCTTACAGGGATCACAACAGAGTGTCCTGGACAGAACTGGAGAAAAATGTAAAACAAAATTCTCACACAAAAAAAGACCAGACTTACTGGCCTGACAGACTGGAGAAACCCTCAGAGTATGGCCCTCCGACACCCTTAGCTCAGTAATGAATTCACTCCCGAGGTTCACCCTTCAGCCAAAGATTAGACAGGCCCATAAAACAAAATGAGACTAATGGGGCACAACAGCCCAGGGACAAGGACTAGAAGGAAATCTGGTAATAGGAGTGGTGACATGTCATGGTATTGTTAATCAATGTCATAAAACAATATGTGTACTAACTGTTTAATGAGAAACTATTTGTTCTGTAAACCTTCATGTAAAGTACAATAAAAAAAAAAGACTTGTTCGGTCTTCTGGACCATAAACCCATTGCTATTGATTGTGACTCATAGATACCTTATAGGACAGAGTAGAACTGCCCCATAGGGTTTCCAAGGAGCAGCTGGTGAATTCAAACTGCTGACCTTTTGGTTAGCAGCCGAGCTCTTAACCACTGC